CCCCAAAACCCCAAAACCCCAAAACCCCAAAACCCCAATCTTTACTAACAAGATTGAATATAGATATTTAACTTAACTCGTCTTTTTTCAGAAGAGGCTCCTCTCATTCGTTTTCTATGATTTTTTGTGGTGGAGCAGCAGGGTGTTCGGGTAAATCTGCCATTGGGAGGGGAAGCTCCATCTGTACTTCAGGATTGGCTTCTGGAAGCATCTCAGGTACAGGAGCTTCTATTGGAACTCCATGCTGATCTCCTCCCAATATTACAGGATTCCAACCATCCGGAGCTTGAATTATGTTACTAGGAGGTAACTCTGCAGCATGGATATGCAAAGGAATCTCACACCCAGGCTGTTCTCCACATGAGATATTGTAAATTAGCTTGACTGATAAAATGTAAGAAATAGTAATATATTTTCCTGATGTAGACGGTTGTAAATATTTGGTCAATTTCCGCTCCTCATCAAGATCGGTGAACATCCCGTGAAAGACACCGTCATTCATAGTTCCGGGTATAGTGCTCAGGTTGAGGTTGAGTTCTCTCGCATACTCTCCTGTAGATTCATTAGCTGAAATTCCATCATAAAGTCGTTCCGCTTTAGTGTAAGATCTGTTTAAAGTATGCCAGTCACTTCTGAGATTGACGTATTGCTTGATTTTGATTCTGATATTTTGGATAGGCATGTTACATTGGGAATTATCAATGCTTCACTGAACAGTCACAACTTCATTGATAGCATATGAATTCTTTGGAAATCTAAACCTACACTTGACTGGCCCATTATTAGTGCACCCGCAGTTGCTCATAATATTAGCTTCAATTGACTGGCTAATATTCTCATGAGCGTATGGGATCTCTTTGACGATAATTGAAGATTTAAATGACATTTCTTTAGCTCTTGTACTTTCTGGCTGTCTTATCATTGCTTTGATTGAATAATCAATAACAGCCTTAGAGTTCGACCTTCCTGAATAGAAAACACTCGATGGCAAACCACCTGGAATTATAAGATTGAAAGGGATTGTATATTGCCCAGGGAGAGCTACCCCGTTATCAAACCTGTATATTTCAAAGATTTGGAAGATAAGAATATCACTTTTAGAGATTCTTTGAGCTGAACGATTTTTTCCATTTCTGCGTCTTCTTACCCATTTAACCTTCTCTTTACCTTTTATCCCAATTTCTAAAGATCTCGCAGGGTATGGCTGAGATAGATTAATATGAACATTCCCAGTAAGTGTTGCTCCCGACATTACATATGGCTGATCAAGTTGAAGATAGATATCTCCATGCTCAAATTTCGGTCTTCCTTCACTATTTCCCATTTATTTCTGAATTAATATAAATATAATAGCATCTCTTAAGCATGGGGTTTTGGGGTTTTGGGGTTTTGGGGTTTTGGGG